GAAGAACGACTTCTAGAAGATCCAGCAAAGCCAACTGATGATACAGATTTCTTGGAAGGTACTTTTATCAAGATAAATTCAGATAAACAAAAAGCTACAACAAACAAGAAGAACAGCAAGAAAAAGGGCTGTTGATCCCTGGCTGCCCTGCATAGGTAAGCAACTATAGCAACTAGCTTACCAGCACACACACTCACTCACTATGGCTAGAGGTAGAAGAAGAAATTGAGAACAGCACACACACTCAGCACAAGCACCAGCGTTGGCCGAAGCCCTGCCCTTTGGTTTGTGGCAACTGAACTAAGTATTTCATTGCCCTTTGGATAGAATATATACACCTCTAGTTGTACCTCTACCAGGTACATAGTTGTTGGTCAACTACCTACTCCTGAGTACAAGAGTACACCAACTACCTACTCCTAAGCTACAGGGTACACCAACTATCTACTCCTAAGATACAGAGTATACCAAGTACTCCTAACAGTACAAAGCTTACCTCAGCCCACTATCAAGACATGGATGATGTAATAGCTACCAACTAATGTACTAGAGGTGGCCTATTGCAATACTGCTACAGCTACAGGAACTGGTCGGTAGAGCCGATCAGTCCCCAACTCCCAACAGGGAGTGGTCAGCCGAGCCGACCAGTCTCCAACCAAGGAGAGAATGGGGAGCAGCAGATTATGTCTAACAATTCTTTCCCTAATCCTGCTGCTAGCCCGATGCCTTGACCTCATCCATGACAATCATCTTCGTCAGCTCCATGAACCGCAGGCGTCCAAGTGACTTGGTGAGGATGTCAGCGAGCTGTCTGCCGGTCTCGACAAACTCGATGACGATCTGCCCTCCATCGATGCAGTCCCGGAGGAAGTGGAACTTGATGTCGATGTGCTTGCTCCGGTCGTGGAGGACAGGGTTCTTGGCGAGGGCGATGGCGGGCTGGTTGTCCACCATCAAAGCTGGCAGGTGAGCTTCCTCGCCGGTCAGCTCGTCCAGTAGCCGGCACAGTCAGACAGCCTGGCACGCCGCCGTGGCCGCTGCAACATACTCCGCCTCACATGTCGATAGCGCCATGATCTTTTGCTTCAGCGACTGCCAAGCAATGGGGGCCGCTCCAAAGAAGACAAGCATGCCGGAGGTGCTCCATCGCCCATCAATGTCGCCCGTCATGTCCACATCGTTGAAAACAGTGAGCTCCGGCTCACCTTCCTTTGCCTTTGGGGGTGCCTCAATGAACACCGTGAGCCACAACCCTCCCTTGCTGCCACTCTTGGGGAAGATGATCGCTTGATCGAGCGTCCCCTTGATGTAGCGCAACAACCTTTTTACTACCAACCAGTGATCTTCGCGTGGGTCCTCCATGAAACGGCTAACGTACCCAACCGCGAACGCAATGTCCGGTTGGGTATGAGTGAGGTAGCGCAGCCCGCCGACGATACTCCGGTAGCCCGTCGCGTCCACCTTTGCAGCAGTGCTGTGCTTACTCAGCTTCAGCCGCTCCTCCATTGGAGTCACACACGGCTTGCACTTCGCCATGCCACCGCGCTGCAGCAGCTTCTCCGCGTAGGCACACTGACCCAGGGAGATGCTCTGCATCCTCTGCCTCACCTCGATGCTGAGGTAGTAGGAGAGCGCCCCGAGATCGGTCATCTTGAAACGAGCCGCCATCTCACACTTGAAACCGTTGATGTCCTCTGCTCGTGCTCCGATGATGATTAAGTCATCCACGTACACACCGACGACGAGCTCCTCCTTCCCCCGTCATCGCGTGTAGAGCGTGTGCTCTGTAGCCCAGCGAGTGAACCCAAGCTCGCCCAAGGTGGCGTCGAGCTTGGCGTTCCACGCCCGAGGGGCCTACCGCAGACCATAGAGCGCCTTACGTAACTTGAGCACCATGTGCTCAGCGCCCTTGACGGCAAAGCCCAGAGCTTGCTTGACGAAGACCGTCTCCACGAGCTCGCCATTGAGGAATGCAGACTTGACGTACACGCCAATCCTTCGCTACTGCCATGGCCAACAGCAAGCGAACGGACTCCATTTGCGTCATTGGAGCAAAGACTTCCTCGAAGTCAATGCCCTCACGCTGCACGAAGCCACGGGCGACGAGCCGAGCCTTGTACATGACAATGGCGTCGCGCTCGTCCCGCTTCACCTTGTAGACCCACTTGAAGCCGATCGGCCTGCAGCCCAGCGGTGGATCTACCAGCTCCCATGTGCCATTGTCCTCGATGGCCTTCATCTCTTCCAACATCGCCCGTCACCAATTGGCATCGCGTTCAACCACTACGAACGTCGGTGGCTTCTTGGCACTAACAAGGAGCAGCTCTGGATCATCGAGCAGCCGACTCGCCAGGCCTGTGGCCCCTGCATTGCCGACGATGTTGTCCAACCTGCAGAATCGGACCTCCTCCCCATTGTGGAAGGCATCCATGAACTCGCTGATGTCGCTCGAAAGGGAGGTGGACTCGATCGGTGGTCCCCGGCTTCCCTGTTCTGCCAGAGTGGTCGGCATCAGTGTTGGACAGCTCAGCACCACTGCTGGAGTGGTCGGCATCGCTGCTGGACCGCTCGGCACCATTGCCAGAGTGGTTGGATCCACTGCTGGAGCGGTCGGCGCCACTCCTGGAGAGGTCGGCTCTACTGCTGGAGCGCTCTACACTACTGTTGAAGTGCTCGGCACCCCTCTACAGTGCTCGGCACCCCTCCCGAAGTGCTCGGCACTGCCCCAGGAGTGCTTGGCTCTGTTGCTGGAGTGGTCAGCACCTCCTCTCTAGCGTCTCCACCACCGTGGATGACCATGCGCTCGACAACGAAGGTGCTGGTGAAGCCGCCCGCTTCCCCCGTGCTCGGACTGTCCCTGTCCCAGTCCGCCTTCTCATAGAACTTCACCGTGCCGGTCACATCATCGTCGAGCTCGGAGAAGATTGCCTTGGAGCCCATCATATGGTTGCTGGCACTAGAGTCCATGTACCACCGCTGCTCCTGCTCGCCGCCCACACATCCGAGGTGGACTTGGGCGCGTGGTTCGTCGAGGTTGATAGCCTTCAGAGCCTTCCCAGGTCCTTCCACCGCCATCCCCTCTCCCTTCTCCTTGGCCTCAACATCGTGCAGTGCACAGAACATCGCCATCAGGAGAGTGGCCTCATCATCATCATTAGCCTGTATCAGATGAGCCTCAGTCTTCTTCTCCTGCTTGTGATTTGGGCACTCCTTTGCCCAATGGCCCGTCTTTCCGCAGCGTCGGCAGGCGTTGGGGTCGATCTTCTTCTTCTTCTCTGAAAAAGCCTTATCGCGGCGCTTGCCATCGCCACCGCGGCTGGAGGAGGCATCCCTGGACTTCTTCTCCTTCATTCGGGCAACCCACTCCTCTTCTGTCAGCAGCAGCTTGCCGCTATCCGTCGTTGCTGTGGCCTGCTCCATGCGCTCGTCCACCACCCACAGACGACTTGTCACATCCTCAATGGTGAGGGTGGACAAGTCCAGCATCGTCTCTATAGAGAAAGCAATCTGGATGTACTTCGCCGGCACGGAGTGGAGGTACTCGGAGACCGCCTCTTCTTCATCGATGGTGATGCTGTGGCTCCTCAGCTTGCTGATGAGCGTCTGCAGGCAGAGGGAGAAGTCCTCCACCGATTCACCATCTTTGAACTTGAGGTTGTCGTACTCCTGCTTCAGCAGCTGGGCCGTCGCCTTCTTTGCACGGTCGGAACCAACACGCATCGCCGTAATGGCCTCCCACTCCTCCTTAGCAGAGCTCTTCATCCCCAATGGCTCCCTATACTCTACTGGCATAGCTGCGAGGATGGCTTTCAACGCTGATATGTCGTCTTCTACGTTGTCGGTGCCCTTCTCAATGGCATTCCAAAGTCGTTGGGCTCTGAGCTTGACCTTCAAGGTCACCGGCCATTCGCCATAGTTGGTGCGAGTCAGCGTCGGCCAACTGGTGCCGCTGACCTCTCGCACCGTGCGCACAACGACCTCCTGTCGTGGCTGGGCAGCCACAGCAGCGCCGCTGTTGTCGCCAATCTCCAAACCGTCCGTCATCGCCAGCGGTTAGTCCGGCGACAGCGTTTGTACAGCTCTGATACTACTTGTTGATCCCTGGCTGCCCTGCACAGGTAAGCAACTAGCTTACCAGCATACACACTCACTCACTATGGCTATAGGTAGAAAAAGAGATTGAGAACAGCGCACACACACTTAGCATAAGCACCAGCGTTGGCCGAAGCCCTGTCCTTTGGTTTGTGGCAACTGAACTAAGTATTCCATTGCCCTTTGGATGGAATATATACACCTCTAGCTGTACCTCTACCAGCCACATAGTTGTTAGCCAACTACCTACTCATGAGTACAAGAGTACACCGACTACCTACTCCTAAGGTACAGGGTACACCAACTACATACTCCTACCTAGTCCTAAGGTAAAGAGTATACCAACTACTCCTAGCAGTACAAAGCTTATCTCAGCCCACTACCAAAACATGAGTGATGTAATAGCTACCAACTAATGTACTAGAGGTGGCCTATTGCAATACTGCTACAGCTACAGAAACTGGTCAGAGCCGATCTATCCCCAACTCCCAACAGAGAGTGATCGGCCGAGCCGACCAGTCTCCAACCAAGGAGAGAAAGGGGAGCAGCAGATTATGTCTAACAAGGGCAAGGGCAAGAAGGGTAGAAAGCAGTCACATGCTCCATCACCCACCAAACCTTCTTCCACAAGCGCTGATGCGGCCGGTGGTGAAGCCCTGGTGTCCTCGTCCAGCCATCTTGCCGTTGGCATACCACTGTGGGAGTTCAACACATCCTCCAGCTCTCTGGTGACAGAACTACTTATTACCCCTGCTGTCAACGGTACATGTAATTCTGCTAATGTGAAGGAACTATCTTCTAGCAGAAATGACGACTTCAAGAGTTTTGACAGCACTACTTCACATTCCACTTCTGCTAGTTCATCTGTCAATGACTATTACACCGGTGGTAACGCATGGAATAGCACCATGGGTGATTATGCTGGCAGCTTGTCAGACGCGAGAAGTGAGCGGTCATTGTCTGCATCAGAATGCATAACTTCACGAGGTTTTATTAATAAGATGAGTGGTGAAGGAAGCAAACCAAATGATCATCGTCAAAGCCTCAGTTTAGCAATCGGTCCTAGTGGTATCCAAGAAGGCTCGCCTTGCAGAGATTATGCTAGTAATGGTGGTGTTTTTCAGAAAATAATCTCCAGGAAAGAAGCACAGAAAATAAAAAAGATGCAACATTTGGAAAGTCCGACCATGGCTGCTTCAGGACCTATTATAATGCGTGCAGTTGTGCCAACAGCTCCAGGCCGTGAGGTTATGACAATAGGACATTACATAAAAGATGATTGCGTCTATGGCAGAAAACCAAACCGCAAAATAAAGGGTAAAAACCAGAAGGGGCCCAGTTTGAGTAACGTGTCAAAGACTGGTTACACTGATGGAGAGAATGTTCCTGGTAGCAGCAGAATGCTTCTTATAACAATGCACACAGGAAAACCTGGGAGTAGTAGTCAGATGGCACTGAGTTCAACTTCTCGTCATCATGTCACCCTAGAGGATATCGAGGAAACTAGCTCTCCAGGATGTCTTCCCATGGAAGGAAAGCTGAAAGCTCCTGTTGGCGGTGACACCGAACGCACGGATTCTACAGCACCATCTTCTGATAAAACTTCGTCACTAGGTAATCTGGCTAATTCTTCATGCGTTGATAGGGAAGAACAGGAAAAAAGTATGGCTCCAGTTGCAGTTGATGGTGACACCGAAGGCACAGATTCTACAGCAACATCTTCTGATAAAACTTCGTCACAGCTGGGTCATCTGGCTAATTCTTCATGTGTTGATAGGGAAGAACAGAAAAAAGATATGGCTCCAGTTGGTGGTGACACCAAAGACACAGATTATACAGCACCATCGTCTTCTGATGATGATCATCTGGCTAATTCTTCATGTGTTGATAGGGAAGAACAGAAGAAAGCTATGGCTCCAGTTGGTGGTGACACTGACACCATACACAGATTCCTCCATAGCACCACCATCTTCTGATAAAACTTCGTCGTCACTGGGTCATCTGTCTAGATCTTCTTGTGTTAAAAGGGGAAAACAGAAGAAAGAAGAGAATGAACAAACATTTAGTACTCATGCATCATCTGAGTTGGATAAGATTATTAAGGCCGCTAACGATGCATATAAAATTCAAGCTGCATCTGATGCGTACATGATCTATGGCGTCCATGCTGATATTGAAACCTTTTTACATTCGGCCACCCCAGTCATTGAGCACATATCTTGCACAACAAATAACATCAGCTTGCAAGACCAGTGTTTGTGGAGCGTGTGGAGATGGTACGAAGAACCCGAGTGCTGTGGGATCGAGGTAGAGATGCAGGGAAGCATCAACTCTAGTTGGGCAAACTCATCTACATATTTTGTACCTTCACTATCTGCGGTTCAGTTGTTTGGACAGTCAGGCAATAAGTTTAGCACACCAGAGGAACCTTGCTTACTTTCACAAAATCATGGTGGACTCTTGTTTGAGTACTTCGAATCGGAAATGCCTTTTTTACGGCCTCCACTTTTTACCAAGTATGTTAAGCCTGTATTATTATTTATTTCGGTTTTTCTCATACTTTTTTTTATAAATTATTCTATACATAGACGCTGGTTTCAGGGCACTGTTTCTGAGTCTTTTCCATCCTACTTGAACTTGTTGTCATGCAATATAGGATCAAACAGCTTCTGAATGGTGTGAACCTGTCTGGTAATCCAATATTTGGTGACCCTAAGCAACTTAAAAGTGTTAAGCTATGTGATCTTCATCCTGCTTCATGGTACCTCGACCCTGATATTGGCTAGAGTTTTCCAATTTATAACAAGACCATTTTCTGTCCAAGTTCTAACCAGATGCTCTATTTTTAGGTTCTGTGTTTCCTGGTACCCTATTTGCACTCCCTAGGCAAATTGGTTCCACAAACTTGCCCTACATATATGGCTGACTGGCTTCATCGTATAATTTGTCCAGTTGTCGGACTGCTTGGCTACAGAGACCAGGTAGTAGATCAATTGGCGCTTTTTAGTACTACTCCGTCCATTCCATATTGTAAGTTGTTATGGCTTTTCTATGTACATAGCTTTTGCTATGTAACTGGACAGAATGTATATCTACGTGCGTAGCAAAAACTATGTGCGTAGAAAAGCCAAAATGACTTACAAATTGAAACGGATGGAGAAGTAGATAGAAATATGTGTGTTCCTTACAAATATTAATTTTTGTAGAAGTTGTTTTGATTTTAGACTTATAGTCGGGTTCTATATCAAAAATTCTTACAGGTAGAGAAGTGGTATCAACTGGGAGAACAACCAAGGTCCAAGCCAACACCAAACGGTTCCTGGAGAACCCACCCTGCTGAACTCCTTAATAAGAAGATGAGGGCACTGAGGCACTGAGGCACTGCGCATCAATCATGTCGAAGGCAGTGGTGCCCAGGGCATCTGGAGAAGCCATGAACTATCATCCAGATTACGAGTTCTTCTGGTCACGGCCCCAGAAGTAAGCATGCGCATTCTGCATATATGCGGCGTTTGAATGAACTCTGACGACCCATTCAGTACCTGCAGTATCTCCATAATAATCTCCACTTGCATGATAGACTTAAGTTTCGCATCGGGGCTGACGCGAAGCTGCTTCAAACAAGTTGACGAGTTTTTTTTATGTAAAGATCGAACAAGCTGATGAGTTTGAGTTGTTTCTGGTACTAGTGCAGTACCCAGACGACATGGGTTTAAGTTGGATGTTTTATATATGTTCATATGTCACTGTTACTTCCGGAAACCTCAGGTGCATTCGATATGGCTTTGATATGTGTTCGCTTGTTTGGCACTTCCAGGTTTCAACATGTAGTCAGTTTTAGTTTTGTCTAAAGTCAACGTTGTTGAACTTTAATTAGTTTTAGGAAGAAGCAGCTACAGCCTACACCTATATAACATAAAATTAATTAGTTAAATTAAATGTGCCACAAAATATGTCTTGATATTGTACATGTTAATATACTTTCTACAAACTTAATCAAAGTTAGCATCGAGGGCATATACAACGAGTCGTCATGGTCTATCTTCATCTTCGTTTTCTTTTTTGCAAAAAAAGCACCTCGGCTTGTCTTGGAGACGGCCGCCCCGTCGCCTGGCGAGGCGAAGGCGCCCATGCTCCGAGGACCAAGTGCCACGAGGAGCAGGGTGGTACGGCTCGTCCTCGTCTCGACGGCGCGCACGGATCCCGCGTGGGTGCTCACGTATTCTAGTTTGGGCGCGCACGAGATGATATGCTACACGCAAAAATCCATCCGTGGCTCGGCAGTAGCAGCTTCTCCCCAAATCCAACTTCTGCGCCAGTCGGTGGCTTCTTCAACGGCTGTGTCGAGATGTCTGCGACGGCTAGGAAGAACAAGGACTTGGCATCAGATAGAAAGGACAAGGGCATGTGACCACCGGCGGCTGGGGCGGCGGTGGTGGCCCAAGCCAACGATCGCGGCAGTGGCCCGCTCCCTTGGTCGTCGTAGCAGCTTGGTGTTGGGAGCGGATGCGGCAGGCCGCACCCTTGGTCACAGAAGCGAATCGGTGGTGGTGGCGGCCCGTCCCATTGTTCGTGGCGTGGACGCAACGACAGCATACATCACCCAGACCTAACCCTAGCATGGGACATGCTGGAGGACGTGGCCAAGGATGCAGACGACCTCAAGCTGATGCTGCCGCACAGAGGAGGATCCCTGCACTGGGGCGGTGCCACGTTCTCCCGCACTGGCATGCTCTCTAACCGGGCCGTCTCAGCCTTGGGCGCAGCAGCCAAGATATCCCAACACGTGTGAATGGCATGTCTCTCTCTCCTGAATCCTAATTCAGGCACGTGCAGCCTCGACAATAGCCCTGTTACCTTTTTTTTGGGAAAACAGGATGGTTTGCCCCCTACTTATTGAAAACAAACAGATGTGTTGAAAGTACAAAGGTTCACGAAACAAAAAAGGAAAAAAGAAAATCATAAGAATTAAACAAAAGCTTCTAGCCATAAACAAAGTTGGGGACGGTTCTGTTCATTTTCACGGAGTATAACTCTTGCAAATTCCTATCTGAAAACTGTTATGCACCTTTGTAAAAGACACTGGTTGTTGCTTAAAGATCAAATCTTGCGGACTGTCTAGATTGCCCAAGTCATGCAAATCAGAACTTCCATGAAGAAGGGAACTGCTAGCTGATTCATGAAGCTGACCAATATATCAAAGGGGTCAATCACGCCACCAATCTGAAGATGAAGTGCGTCCCAACCCCTGGTGGCAAACAGACAGGACTAAAAGAGATGAAGAAGGCTTTCTTCAACTCCAAAACTGCAGAGCATGCAGTTATAGTCATCAATCCCTTGTGTTCAGTCTATCCTTAAGGAGCAGCCAGAAAAAAAAAATACTTTCCTTTTCTTCTGGCAAGTTTTTTTCCAAAGCCATCGAAAGACTATAGATGTACCTGTCTTTACCCAATAAGTTGTTTGTAAGACTTGCTAGAGGAAACGATGGGAGAGAGCCCCAAATGTAGGTCCAAACATCTGAATCTGGTGTCTCCTGAAGATCCAGAACAATGGAGCTGAATTCTTGAAACTGAGCAAAAGCCTCAACCGAGAGGGCAGGTGAAAGACAGTGTGAACGTGAGGGGTCAGCCGAGCACTTTGGAACTGATATATTGGGGTCATTAACAAAATAGAAAAGCTCTAGAAAGGCATGCCAAAGAATTTGACCCTGCCATAGATCATGCCACAAAAAACAGGTGGCTCCACTGTACAAGTTAAAAGAAGAAATACTCTTGAACGTCGATAGTAACTTTAGGATGTCTCTCCACCAGAAGGAGCCTCTCCTAGTGTAGGCAATCTGCCATTGGAATACAACTTCTCCCAAAGTAAGTGTACCCAGGGTATGTCAAGCTTGTTGTAAAATTTATGAAGATTTTTTAGCAGAAGACTATCATTTTGGACCAAAAGATTAAGAACTCCAAATCCACCTTCATTCTTATTGGGCAAACACACCATTTGCCACACTGCCTTCGCTGGCTTTTTACTATTGATGTCAAAGCCACACTAGAGGCAATGCTTTTGAAACTTGTCAATTTGCTTAATAATCGTTTTAGGCAACTAGAAGGTGCACATGGTGAAGGTTGGCAGAGTAGTAAAGACTACACTTGTTAACTCCAAACGGCCAGATTGACTCAAGAAGGTAGAGGTGCTCATCAAACATTGCTCACAATGTGAGACTAATGGCCAAAAATCTACCACACAGGGTTTTGTCAAGCTCAGAGGAAGAGCCAAATATGTAAAAGGTAATGAACCTGTTGAGCAGCCAAAGGTGTTGGCAAGCAAATCAAGCTTCTCATCCGACACATTAATGGGGACCATCATAGATTTAGCATAGTTGACTTTCAAACCTATAGACTCAGCAAGGAGTTCAGAAGTGCCTTTAGAAAGAAGAGTTGCCTTGCACATCCTTGCATAAAAATAAGAGTGACATCTGCATATTGAAGAATTGGAAAATCCTGGCAATAACTCAAAGCAATTGGCAAGTTGAGGAGACCCTGACTCTTTGCAGAAATGAGAAGGGATTATAAAAGATCAGCTACCAGCACAAAAACAAGAGGTGACAAGGGGTCACCTTGTCGGACACCATGCCTACGGTGAAAGACCTTGGCAGGTACCCCATTGACAAGAACTAAAGAAGTCCTAGAGCCAAAAAATCAACCTCATCTAGTCAAGCCATTTTGGAGGGAACCCTTTGTGTTGCATTACCTGAAGCATTAGCTCACGTTCCACCTTATCAAAGGTCTTCTCAAAATCAAGTTTTAGAATAATGAGCTATTTTTTTAGTCTAGTGACACATATGAAGATACTCTAGGGACCAAACTAGACAATCTTGAATATACCTTGACTTAATAAATCTATACTTATCAACAAAGCATCATTGTTTGCAGTCTAGTGGCCAACATCTTTGTGATAATTTTGACAGAAGCAGGGAAATAGG